GGCCTCTATACCCAGCGTGCATTGTCGGCCTCACGTATGTGCCCAGGGCCTAACCAACTCTGGGGCCCTGGGTTCTGCATTTGCAGATCTCCGATACTCGGTGCACTCCAACCAACTGGCGTGCTGCAACTGTATGAACCCCACTACGTGAAATGTTTGCACAGAGGGCCTGTTCCGGATATTCTRACCAGCCTTCACTTAGGGCGGTCGCATATCTGGCCCGCCTTCACTTAGGGCGGGCACGAGGCTTGCTGGGGCCTTAGCCCAGAACATGTACAACATGGCAAGGCCCCTTCTTGAGGGCTCAGTCCTCACATTCCATCCCCCTTAGCTTTGAAAGTCCGCTGAGATGCTTACTTCGCAGGTGCCTTCCCTTTCAGCAGTCTCTCGTAGTCTGCCACCTGAGGTGCTGTCTGTAGCAGCTCCTCTCCAGTGTATCAACGATCTTCTTTAGGATCAGTATGATGCCTGAATCTGACCCAGTATAGTCATCTGGGTTTTGGATGTCTCCCTCTGCCCAGATGTCTTGGAACAGGCATGTCTCTATGCTCCAGATTGCCGTTGACGTCCACGTGGCCATCCATGGTTGGGGGTAGCATCGATCTCCTTAAAGGGAATTGATCAGTCTCAGCAAAAAGTGCAAGCTTTGAGGCGTGAAAAACTGGGTAGTGCGCAGGTGACCAGGGATACGCATAACGTAGGATGGATCATCCAAATCATTCCCCACTACATCCAAGACTTCCCTAGATGGACCAACTAACCTTTTATTCCCCTGCCTTATCCAGAAGCATAACCCATCCATCAGGAGATGGTCTTTCCGGTAGGCTTCCACCATCGATTGAGTTWGCTCGTGAGATATGCCATATTCAGAAACTAGTGCCCTACRTGATAGCGCATGAGCAACTTGTTATCCTCCCCCTTCAAATGTTTGAGGGCATTGGAGAGAACAGGTTGAGTCTTTAGTCCACTTTAGAATCTGATGTTCMRTCCTTGAGTAGAAGAATCTACCCAACAGTYAGTGTTTCTAGTGGATTAGAACCTTGTATAGGGCATAGAGTTCCCTCTCTTAAGTGGACTTRGCCAACTTCTTTAGATGACATSCTTTTGCTCAYACTCAATCGGCCTCAACTTCTTCCCTGCCTGCTGGGCCAGCACTGGGCAATCCCATAATGGTTAGCGTCAGTGGTTACTATAAATGGCCTCTGAGGATCAGGRATCATGAGAAACTCGTGATTCATGAGTGCGCGCTTCARTCATTTGAAGGCAGCCTCACACTCATCACTCCAGKYCCATGAGGTGTCAAGTCGAGTATGATCTATCAAAGGAGAGACGACTGTAGAATAGTTCTTTWCGAAACTCCTATATTAGCCGCTCATTCCTAAGGAAGATCTAACCTTAATCACCCTCTGAGGATGTGACCAGTCCCTAATACTAGCCACTTAGAGGCTCTGCGTTCTTCGCTGTGATGGCTTTGAGGCCTCTATAATCAAAGCGCATCCTCAAACTTCATCCCTCCTTCGTTACAGRCTACACTGGGGATCCGAAGGGAGAAGTACTAGGTCGTATACATCCCTTTTTCTGTCAGCTCCTTCAGTTGCCGATAGAGTTCGTCCCTCTCGGCCGAGGCCATCCTATAGATTCTTCCCTTTTTGGGGTKTTACTCCCTGGAATTATTTCTAGGGTGWGGACTATCTCCCTTTCAACGACTCYTGTGGGCTTCTTGAACARATCAAGGAACTTAGCGACGATATAAAATAGGTACATGCCTTCCTCTTGGTTTTGTATTATAGAACGTTGCTGTTCATAAGTACGCATAGGACTCAAACAACCTACTAGCCTTTCACTTAGGTAGTCTAATGGTTCTCCTACCAGGCGACTCATGCTTCAGCACTTTCTTCTCCCAGTCCAACTGGGACTTGGCAGCCTCAAGGTAGTACATTCCTAACAGCATGTCGAATGACAACTCGTCACTAATATGGAACGAAATCCTATGATTAAGTTCCCCTCCTCCAAAAGAGAAGGTCCAGACTACGTCCTTGACATAGTCTTTCACTCACTACAAAGCGCTTATCGTTGGCCAAAGTAGATGCTACCAGTCTACTAAGGTGCTGTACCTGGTCCTATAGGCGCAGCCTTTCCAAACAGTCAAGGCATATGTAGTGCTGCGTGGAGCCGATGTCAATGAAGACACCACATTTGCGGCCTCCTACACCAACTTCCACACAAACTAGGACCACAACTTTGTGCCACCCAGGATTCTCTAGGGTCCCTGTCTGACCACTCTTTGCGAATCCTCTAAGGCCTCAGACACATYTAATGTACAAAGCACATTTTGGTCTAGATGAGTCTGCGGGATGACTAAAGAGTCATTAGCCTTGGCCAACTCATGAAGTAGGGAGGGTATTCCCACTTCACCATGAGTAGAAGCAGCTAAAACTTCCACCGGCCTCATGTGTTTCCCAGGCTAGAAGCCTGGGATGAAGGCACCCCTCCCTTAGGGGTATCTTCTGCGTGACCTTCGCTTTCTTGCACATATGCTGAGTGTGCTCATTTTCACCTAGTTAATGCAAGCTCCATGCGAACGGCGGTCCCGCTACACTAATCTAAGCCAGCCTTAACCCAATCATCAACCTTGGACTGATTGGAGGCGGCCTGCCCTTGACTCTTTTGATGGCCCTTCCCTCGGCCACCCGCCTTGGCCTTTTAATACCGCGGCAAGGGTGCTACCCTCAGCATAGTCCTTGCCGTCATCCTCTGGTGTGTCCATCAGGTCAGAAGGGTCATTGACCTCATCATTCGTCTACCCTTCCTCTTCCACGCCTGCGGACTCTCCTTTCCTCTTCTGTCTACTGAAGTGTGATATGTCAACTGTGTTCTCTGACTCTCTAAGAGAAATAGCGAATGCCTGGGACAACAATGAGATTCTCAACGGTAGTCGTAAACTCCCTGATTGACTGTGCCAGCGATCTTCTACCCTGTCGACGAACTCTCCTATGCGTCCCCCATACCCGACTTTCACTATGAACACACTAAGACAGTTATCACTTCCTTCTCCAGCAAGGTTCTCTTGGCCCTCACCCACATCGGAAACGATCTCATCCTGAGATTGAGATCCTCCTCCTCCTTTCCATTTGTGTAAGGAAGGGGAGCCCTCTTCGGGGTCTTTGAGAACAAGGAACTTGCTACTGTTCCTGTGGGTGGAACAGGTTGCTGTGGCGGTGATTGAGTAGCTGTCACCGCCTGACTAGAAGAAGAAGAAGCTACAGTCTGTGCTGCTGCTGCTGACGAACCGCTTGGTTGTGTGCCTGCTTGGGGATAGATGCCTATAACTGCCATCTTAGGGAGTGGCGATTTATAAACTGCGAGCAGCCTAGAGCTTAGCTGSTGCAACTGAGTCAATGTCTAATCCAAGGTGTCTTGCAT